CCCCGCTGGCAAGTGGACATCCCCCGAGGGCTGCCGGGCTGCCAGAGGGATGCCTAATTGCCATCTTAGGCCCAATCTCCCGGGGAGTGGGCCTAAGCCAGCAGGTGGTCATCCTCTGAGGGGTCCCAGACTGCGAGAGGGCACAGGCTGGGCTGAGGGACTCCCCCTCCCCCCCGAGTGCACAAATTTTTGTGCACCGGGCCTCTAGTAGTTAATAACACTCTATTGTATATTTGAAAGTTTTTAAGAGTAGACTTAAAAGTTCTCACACATAAAAAAATATGTAACTGCGTGGTGATAGATTTTAACGATTTATTGTGGTGATTGTACAATATATACATATATCTGTACACCTGAAAGTGGTATAATGTTACATGCCAATATACTCAAATCTCTCTCTTTCTCTCTCTCTCTCCATATATATATAATGTACCCATGTTTTCTATGAGCCAGACCCTGATCTAGGTCACTCCTCCCACCAAATCCATGGATAGGTACAACTGACATCCCATGGTTAACTGATGAGGAAATGGAGGCCTAGAGAAGTTACAACACATCTAACAAAAGGTGGAGCTAAGTTTGACACCAAGGCAATCTCCTCCAGAGCCCATCTTGTTGACACCACCAGTACCTCCCAGAAGACAACACTAGGAGGGGGTCAGTTAAGCTGGACCAAAATGAATGGGTAATAACGACAATGATAATGACCTCAGCTACCCATTAATGAGACTTTAGGGTACACAACTCTGCCAAAGCTCCCACATACATGATTTCATTTCACTCTCACAGCTCCCTAAGAAGCCAATATTATTATTTAACCCATTTACAAATGGGGAAAGTGATGATTCTAGAGGTCAGATCACTTGCCCAGAGTGCACAGCCAGCATGTGGAAAACACAGGATTTGAATTTAAGGTCAACTCCAGAGTGATCTCCACTGGGTTGGAAGGCATTCTGTGGAAGAACTTGGACAAAAGCAAGAAGACACCGATTTGGCTACACACTGGAAAACAGCACCACGTGGCACAGCGTGTCAAAGACAGACCATGACTACGTCCTGCACAACTGGCCCTGTGATTTTCTCCTGAATCTGCCATAAAGGGACGAGTAGTACGGTATTCTAAGCAAGAGGAAAGCCATCAAGGGATCTAGATTTTCTCAAGCTTACGATACTCAGGTGGAGGTTATTTATAAAGAAAACATTTATATTTTATGTGAAGTTGTTTCTCAACGATACATCTCCCATCTGAGGACTGGGAACAGTTTGATTGTTGCATATCAAATACTTCCAGCACTGTCATTTCCCCTCTGTTATCCACATCCCATCTGCTTCCTCTTCCCCACACTGAAGTAACTGGCATATTCGCTCAAACAAAAGCCTGCAAACAAAAATAAAAATAAAATCTAATAATTGGCCCAATTTCATTTGAGAAAAATAACTCACCAACTTGTTCCATGTTGAATAAAAGAAACAAAAACATGTAATTGATGAAACTTGTTTACTCATCTGATTTTGATCCTAAAATAGATCACGCAATATGTATTTTTTTTTTAAACCTTCTCAATTCATTCCCTGACTTTTCTGTAGGTAACCTAGAAAAGCCAAGTGGAGCCTCAGTACTATTTATGCACATCTATTAAACAACGCCAACTCCAGCAACCACCACCTTGGGTAAGAGCGTAGCATCTTAAAAGCAAAATTCCTTAGGTAATGTTTATTCCGTTGCAATATAAAGAAAGCACACTTTTCATTTCCTTTCAAAATTATGCAACTTTTGATTTCATACACTGCGGTCTGCCTAGAAAATACCACCAACAGTATGTGAGCAATATATTCATTATCAAATCATCCGGCGAGCTGTACACTAAATACAGTTTAACACTCAGGTGTTATTGCAAAAGCACTGAGCATTTTGAGTTTTTATCTGCTGTTTCTAATAGCTATTATTATATTCCTTTTATGATGCTTGAAACATATGCTCAGTTCAGACCAAGAGAGAAGGTAAATTGATGAGTGCCTTGTTTGAATAAATTATGTGCCCTGCTTGTCTTTTATATCTGAATCATTTCTTCAAGTGTGTATTATTATCCTCAATTTCAGAGTCAGGTAAATTATAGCTTAAGTAATCAAAGTACAGCTGCCATGAGAGCTGTGCTGACTGTATATAGCCCATGCTCATTCTAGGCCAGGGAACAGCAATCCCCCCGAATGTAAATGCTAGCGCCTGCTGCAGGATCACCACCCCTTCCCTGGCCTGAGTCATGCCCAGGAGATGGTCCCTGTCTCGCTTCAATTCACTGCGATCACCTGATAACTTCGGCCACAAATGTGAGCGAACTGATGTGATGCGGTCCCTGCAAAATCTCCACATGCAATTCCATGCCCTTCCCCTTGCAAGAGGCTGGAGTGGACACAATGCCAGGTCATCTGTGGGGCCACGTGTTGAAGAGGCCGGTGGCATGAAGAAAGGAGCCTGGGTCTGTGAGTCACCACCTAGAGGCAGACCAAGGACACCACCCTGGGCTTTTATGTGACTAAGAAATAACACTTTATTGTAGAAGTGACTGCGATTTGTCAGTTTATGGGTTGCAGAAGCTAGCATTATACTAAAACAGAAAAAAAATCGGAACAAGTCATAATAGGAAATAACAGTCAAACTAAAGATTTTTAAAAAAATAAAATAATAATTTTGAAAAAATGTTTAGTATTTAGGTAATGCTCATGTTATAACGTGGAATTTTAAAAGTAAGAGATAGAACTGTATGAGTAGTATTTTCCCAAGTATAAAAAGATATCCCCTCTCAATTATTTTATGTAAATATGTACCCAGAAATTAATGTTGTTGACTGAATGAATGAATGCATAAAAAGTGGAAGAAAACATGTTCACTTTAAGTCAAGTTCCCTCTGGATATTGGGACAGGAGGAGGTTTTTACTTCTGTGTATTTTCTAAAATCAAAATAATGAGTATAGTCCTTTCATAATCAGAAGAGGTTTGTCTGTTTATGTTTAAGATTTCTTTAAAAAGGCCAATATATACAGACAGACATAATACGGCACTAGCTCTTATGCCCCCGACCCCAGGCACGGTTTTGCTCCATTTACCACCCCACATGGCAGCCTCTCAGGCATTCGGAACTACCCAATGCACAGGGTGAGTCCAAGGCCCAGGGGCAAATAATTCCCAGGAAAGTCCTGGAAGATGACCCTTCTCTGTTCATTTACAATGAGGCAGCTTTAAAAGCAAGTCAACAAATAACTCCATTAAGGATCTACTGGAAACACAGAAATTACCGTTTCCGCGGATACACAATCCTGGGCAGGCAGGGACGGTGAGATTCAGAGCCAGTTCCTAAAGCAGGCGCCCCTGTTGTGTAAGTGAGGCCTGTCTGAGGTCACACTCCCAAAATGCGCAGCACACTATGACTTTTATTGGTTCGAGTGTGGAAAGATGGGTCGGTCCTTGCTCTATGTGACTGCCCACACTCACGCTGAGGCCTGGCTTTCGGAGCACCGCTGTTCGTTTCCAAGGAGAGTGAGTGCCAGGAAGCAGGTGTGAAGCTGCCCGCCCACAGCCCGGGATCTCGCCCTTCCCTGTGTAGGTGTCCGGCCGCTTCCCCTCAGGGAACACCAGACCGTGAGGGGAAAGACGTCCCAGCACAGAAAAATCTAAGGAGGTGACCAGAGAAACTCATTGATATCCGCAGACTCAGGAAGAAGAGAAAAGAACATTTTATAAAAAGGGGATCTCTTTGCAAAAATGTATACAAGAGGAAATGGGAACATCTTGATGCACACAGTTAGGGAATGCCTTTAATGTCAATTCCGGTGTTCCTTTAAGGAGGACTAAGTAAATATTTTAGGAATAACAACTGTATTTACTGAGCATATACTATATCTCAGAACCTAAACAAGCATGAAGTAAATTACAAAAAAGATATGAGGAGGCTCAGATAATCACCAAGGAGGTGGGAGATGAGGCTCAAAGGTGGGAGGGGCACAGGGGCAGCAGCAGCCAGGAACAGGTAACCCGCCACGGGAGCCAGGAGGACAGCCCCATCGCCCTCACTTCTGGGAAGCAGGCAGCAGGCCACCTCGATGGCCAGCGTTTGCCTTACCCTTGCTTCTTTGCATCCCTGACTCCAGATTCAAAATAATGGGCGGGTGATGTGGTGGTAAATGAAGATTTACTATGCAGAACCCAATGTTACCTTCACCTATCATTATAAGACAACTAGAGGCCTGATTTGTGTGTGTGTGTGTGGTGGGGGGCGGGGGGCGGGCTGTGGTCCCTCAGCCAGGCCTGTGCCCTTTCACAGTCCAGGGAGATGCCCAACTGCTTCATAGGCGTCTGCTGTGCTCCCCTGCCTTCAGTCCGGCTTGTAGCTGAGCAGCACTCCCCTTGTGGGAATGCACTGACCATGAGAGGGCAGCTTCTGCGTTGAGCATCTGCCCCCTGATGGTCAGTGCGCATCATAGCGACCAGTCACTCCATGGTTTGGTCAATTTGCATATTGCTCTTTTATTATATAGGATGAAGATCATCATTTCAACACAAAGGTTATTTATAAGATCTTTTGACATGATCCTAACACATAATGTGGTGTGACAAAGCCACAACAATCAAGGAGGCTTGTGATGTATTTAATTGTCTTAGGATGAATAGGACAAGTCAATCAGTCAACAGGAAGTGCCCTTTTTATATAAAACAGGATGTGATTATATATAAAATGAAAAGAATGTTATCATATTGACAAATAAAAACATTTTAGCATGCAGGTTGTTAGCTGGAAGAGTATTAACTTCTCTATCTATATTTCGATTTCTTTCCCAGCAAAAAATACAACAGCCCGGCCGGCATGGCTTGGTGGTTGGACGTTGACTTATGAACCAAGACATCATGGTTCGATTCCCAGTGAGGGCAACTGCCCGGGTTGTGGGCTCAATCCCCAGTGGGGTGTGTGCTGGAGGCAGCCAATCAATGATTCTCTCTCATCACTGATGTTTCTATCTCTCCCTCTTCCTTCTTCTCTGAAATCAATAAAAATACATTTTTTAAAAATAAACAAATAAATGAAACAAAACCATTTTTGAAGTATAATCCTCTTACTTAAACAAATATTGAGACTCTCATATCAATGTGAATGGATTAATTAACAAATTGTGGAGATCCCAAAAGCTAAAAAGTGGAGGTCCTAATAAAGTTCCAGCTATTCTTGATGCAAATACACTTTCAAGGCAGGCCTTGTGAATCATGTGAGAGAGAGATTCTTTCACTCACCTTAAAGAGAACAGAAAGGCACATCAAGGCTAATTATGCACACAGTGGGTATTCTGTGATCATCTGTTGACTTTATACTTAAATTTAGCCCATAGAGGTGATTATATGTAATTAATAAACCTCCTGAGAAAATTTTAGGCAGGAAAAAAAATTCCTTCTTAAAAGGTAGCTGATACAAACAGCTACAGAAATGAATATTACCCACATATTAAAAACTTAATTCACCAAACCAAATTTACTCTCTCAGACATAAGTCCATTTTCTGTGCAAGAAAATGAGGTTCTCACTCAATATCTTATCATTATGAATTGTTTGAGAAACAAAAGGTCTGCATTACCCATTTTAAACAAATGTTCAAATTAACAAGTTTTCTTTGGGCAAACTGTTCTATTACCCAAAGAGATACAACAAAATGGATCATTAAGAAAATATCTGCAGATTACATAGTTTCTAGAAATTGCTCCACAGAACCTGCTATTTCTGGTTTTAATTCAATCTTCTAATTTTATTAATATATATTTGCTATCTTAAAAATCCTGACTCACACATAAAAATCTTCCAATAACATCGTCATCAAGTTAGCAAAGAGGGAAAATGCTTGGGGAGGAGATTAAACCTAATGTGGCTGGTAGAAATCCCATCTTTGTCAATTATTAGTTGCAGAGACTTCCCAAGTTTTTAACATCCTACTTAAATGGCAAGATTTGGCAAGTGATTGAATATGACAAACAGGAGAGGCATTAGAGACGACCTGGAGGTACCTCGGCTGGGTAAGCAGAGGGACATAAGAGGAAGAGTATAGTTCAGAGCAACCTAGAGATGGCCATTCCATTTAGGGCAGGCCAGATGGAGAGACAGACACCCATAAGTGGGTGGACAATAGACTACCAGGAATGTGGGTCCAGACACAAAGAAAGATTTGTATAGCATCCTCCCAGAGATTACTGGAAATCATAGGTATGCCTAATATCAGCATCAACTTTCAAATTTTATAAAATGTCACTTTATTTCAAAACACATGCAAATACGACATAGAAAAGTAAGCATCATACACATTTCAATCATTTACAAACTTTTTGAATTAAAATATGAACTCTTCTAACATATGATCAATAAGAAACTGATTATCATGTCTCTAATTTTTCTATGACATCTGTAAACCCCTGAAATTATATGCTGCTACTGCTGCTGCTGATGATGATAGTAATAAAATCTTACAGAGCACTTATTGCATATTAGGCATATTATCCTTCCATGTAATTTTTCCCCCATTAAAATGTCATAATTATAAAGTGGAGGTCTCATTTTCAGGACAATCAGAAAGATATATGTGTGATCCAGTTTTAACTTTCACCTCAAATCTATTGGCTAAAACTCTCACTGTGCTCTTGGTTCTTATCAGTCTGGTAGGGACAAACATGTAAGCACGGTGGAGTTCTGCCAGTCTCCTTATTTCGCTTTCTCCGGGCAATCTCAGTGACATGTATAGTTCCTTTTATACTTACTATCACCTCGGTTCACCCAGGTAGACTTGGTACCATCTCCTCTTCTATTAATTTCCCCTCTGAGCAAAACTGTCTATTCACAACAAAACCCAGAGACCTTCCTTCTACAACTGCTCACTGAGTAAGAGGATTACTCACTCATTCACCAAACGAGGGGCCTGGATTCATTCTCTCAATTCCCTTTCAGCTCTGACGGTGCCACTGGGAGGTGACACACAGCCACATCATTCCCAAACCTTTTATCCAGTTTGATTTTCTTAAAAAATATTCCTCAAAATCCAAACATGGCTTTTAAAAAAGTTGATTTTCATTTTTTAAACTGGCTTCCCTGTCGGTCTCTCCCGCTCCCTCGCCCTGGCCCCACATGGGAAGGCCACCTGGCTGATTCCTCCAGCGCAGTTTCTGTCTTACATACACAGTGTACAATCCCAGCCACAGAGCTGTGGCTAACTAAATGCTTATCTGAATCCATGACGAGGAAGCCCATTAGGTCATTAAGGCCCAACCCCACGGAAGTCTGACCGAGCAGTGCCCCAGCTGTGCTGGGGGAATCAGCTGCTCCCAGCATTCCCTTAAGAAGGGCCTTGGGCCTGGAATATCAGTGTGGCAGCACATATAAGGAAATACTGGGGAACATGAAGACCAAAGGCCAACATGAACTTTACATTTCTTTGCTCTCCTTACCCAATCCCGAAAGCACAGGAGCATAAAACAAAATGATCCTTTCAGGTGAAAAGGCTCGAATGCTAACCTTTACTGCGGCTATTGCCGAAGTTCACTGAGGAGCATTCATTCAGGTTAGGGCTCATTTTACTGGGAGGCAGGGGGTTCACCTTAAAAAGCAATTTTGATAGTTTTGAAAATAAAATCAATTTTCATTTCTTAAAAGATTGGTCGTTCTCACCTAAAACCAATACCAAATAATATTAAATATAAACTATAACTAAAAAGTAAAATTAAAAGCTTGTATCGGTTGCTCTTAATCTCTACATTTAGCATCTGCATATTACAAATTAATTTCTCACTAGAGCATAAGTTCTAAGGAGAAAGAAGGCTCGCTTATCTTCCTTCCACAGCTGTGCCGTGGTGCCTGATGCACAGCCCACAATGACTGGCAACACAGAAAGGATCTGTGAGAAGCAGCTGAAGGAACTTGGAAAGGGAGAGGAAAGAACACCCAGCCGAAGGGCCTCGCTGCTCACTTCTAAAGAGCGCAGAACACTGGGAAACTGAGATGGGAAGCCTGCCTCTGCCTTACACTCTCAAAGGTGACTGCGAGGCCTGGGCAAGGCCCCTCAGCAGGCGCTCGAGTCTTCACTTTTCATGGGAAACACCGCTCCCGGGCCCGCAGGCAGGGAATGAGCCTGCACACCCTCCAGGTCCAGGCCCGGCTGCCCAAAGCGGGAGCCAGGGGCCTCCGGCCAGCGGAGCACGTGCCATGTGGCTGGTGGGGAAGGCGATGCGCTGGGTTACGTGTAACACAGCTTTTGTGAAGATAAGGGCCAAAAGAGAACGTAAAACATCCCATTGATAAATCATTAAATATTAATTACATGTTAAATCCTACTTTGAATATACTGGTATAAACAAAATATATTGTTAAATTAATTTCACCCATTTATTTCTAGTTTTCCTAAGGTGACTTAAAAACCGTGAAAATGTTTATGTGGCTCATACTGTATCTCTACTGCAGCTCTAAGCCAGGCTGACAGAGATGCCACCAGAGAAAGTCCACTGACATAGACAGCGGGACCTACTCCTCATTTCTTAACCGTTTGACTGCTAAGGAGCGCTATCGCGCTCTTCTTATTTAAAACAAATTTATGTAAACAATTGGTATTTTTTAATTTTTGTTATTGCAAAGCAATACAAGTGAGTTTATTGTATAAAAAGTGTTTTACATTTTTTCCCATACACACGCAATTAGTGCCAAAGTTTTGGCATATGTCCAAAAAAATACAGCAGCAGCCAAAAGGTTAATCTTAACTGGAGAAACTGGTTAGACTGTCTGCCCTGTACCATCTCCCTTAAAGAAACACAACAGGGCCTGCCTGCTGTGGCCAGCTGGCTGGGCATGCCCTGTGCATAGGGCTCTCTTGCCTTTGCAATTCACCATCCCCACTGGATCTGTCACTGAGTATAACCGACAGCACAGCGAGGTAACTGGCGGGAAACCGCTGCCTGTGCGTTCACCAATCGGGGCAACGCATTCCACCCAGAGGGTGAGCTTACTCAGTTTCTTAGCGGCCTCCAGAGCTTCGTTCGCAGTGTCCACTACAAAGAACCTCTGAACTTTCACTCCGTTGTCGGCCATCAGCTTCTTGCTCTGGTACTCCTGCAGGTTCAGCCATCGTCTGGGGGTGAAGTGGGCTGCCTAGAGAAATTGGGGGAGAGGTGAACACATAATAACAAGCAAAATGACAGTCAACTTATATGGCCAGTCCTACAGGTACCCTCAAATGGCAGCAACACAGACTATAAACAAACAAACAAAAATCTATCTAAATTCTTCATGCTTAACTGTTTTTCTAATCAAAATGTTAAAGATACCTACACACACAAATACATCAAAATTTTAAGAAACCATGGAAAGTAAGTAAGCTCTATGTCCAGTAAACAGTAATGTACCAATGTCGATTTCCTGGTTTTGGTGCTGTACTAAAACTATGTAAGATGTCAATGTTAGGAGAAGCTGGGTGAAGGGTACTCGGGATGCCTGCACTATTTTTGCAGCTCCCTGTAAGTCTACAAGTATTTTAAAATGAAAAGTTATTCTTAAAATGATAAGGACTATTACATAGTGTATACCTCCCCCATCCCCACCACAAATAAATGAAGTTCACAGCAATACCTGTATGGACATTGTTAATTGTTTTTTTAACACTTTCAGGTCAATAGGCCACTGACTAGTCCATTTCCTTACTGAAGTTTTTAATGGAATCTGGTATAATCATTACATGTTTAATGAGATTATCTCACACACCAGAGTTCAGTAACCTGAAAGAGTCACCATTAATTAAACTAGTTCTGAAAACTGCAACTGGTGTAGGAAAGCCAACCTTACTATCGATCAATAAGTTTCTATATGTCTTGAAAGAAAATAATCAAAGGGCGGAATGACATGAACAAATAGATTCTTCACATTTTATCCAATAAGATCAATAGCATTCCTTATCAAATCCATGAGCCCAAGTTTTAAAAGAGAAGCAGGAAAAAATAAGTTCACTTAATTTAAGTTCATTTCCACCCACGAGATATAGGATGACCATGTCATTAATGTACAAAGAAATCAAAATATCCATCACACAACTGGGCCATGGGCTGTGGTGGAGGGCCTCCTGACACACCTCCCTCTGGTTTCCTCAAGGGCCTCGGTGGGTCACCCAGGAGTATTACAGACTGTCAAATGGGGTCCACAGGGCATTGCCACGTGTTACCGGGAGCTTTCAGCACCTCTAGTGTGTCCTTAACATGGTGCCTGGTTCTGGAACCTCAAAGCTACAATGCACTCATGCAGCTCATTTGGACAAGGCCATTCCACAGAGGCTCCAGCACCTCGCAGCGAGACGGGTTCCACCCACAGGCAGAGCGGGTGTCTTCATCTTCTTTGTATCTTAATGAAGACCGTGATGGTGCTTGGCATATGGAAGATACTAAAAAAAATGCCAGTTAGATGTCCAAATGAATAAGCCCTGCCTTTGGTCCCTTTATTCAGTTCATTTTTCATTCCCAGAAAATGACCTCTAAAAATGGGAAAGTCCTTTAGACCTGAAATGAACATAATGTAATTTAAACACACTTCTTAAAAATTCAATTTTGACATGATTAAAGCTAAAGATATCCCTCTATTCTATCCTTATTAATATTGGAAATGGTGTTTTCAATTTTGAAGTTTGCCTACACTTCTTTAGAAATAAATCTACTGGGATAAAAATAAATTGCCAGGTAAGTAATGTTCCCATCATTTCCTGGATATTATAGAACTGTATAAGATTTTTTAATCTTCTGAACTTTAAGTCTTGATAAAACATTAAAAAATTTTAAAAATAAAATTTCAAAAATGGACATATTCATTGTATCAAGAGACTTAACACTTTGCATACCGCATAGAAATCTCTAAGACATATGCCAGGGACCACATGTTTTTAGGCAAACTGGATGCTATTTAAATCATCATAACTACAGATCATAATGCACTTTAGGTGTTGTTTTTCAATAATTATAACATTTTTATTTACAAAAACAATTAAAGTTCCTAGTACTTTTTTAACATATGGTACTGCGTAAAACATTTTCCTCTATGAAGAGGGACCCAACAAAATTTACGTAAGTATTTAGATTCGCTCCTTTTTCCACGGGCGGCACAAACTCCGCAGGCTCTCATAGAAAATTTTTTCTTTCCACTCGCTGGAATACACGTAGGTTCATGCTGCTTCATATCACCTGACAACCTTTTGGGTGGATCTTTACGAGGTGCTCTCCTTGCACCCCCAGGGGAAGGGCTGGACAGATTTGTCTCTGGTTCCAGAGAGCCTTCATTATTGTCATCCGTTATACAGTCTCTCGCCACCAATAGCATAAACTGTTTATACTTCATTTTTGCTTGTGGATTGAGGACGTTGTGCACTCTAAATGAATTGAAAAGTCCACAGTTTATAAGGTACAGCACTACTTTTTT